AAAAAAAAAAAAAAAAAAAAAAAAAAAAAAAAAAAAAAAAGCTTTTCATGATAACTGTACAAAAATAATTCACAGTAATTTTTTTTTTTTTTTAGCTTTTCCACTCCAGAAAAATGACTTTTTGTTGCAGATGCTCTCTATTGAGAAAGTCAGCCAGTCCTCATATGGGTGTTATTGCAGCCCCTTCCTAGGTCTCAGTGGTAAAAGGACAGGCTAACAGAATCTGTAACGAAGCTTCAGCGTTAACGCTGCCCAGTGACCACTGGAGAAGAAAATAAAGAAATAATTGCACCTGGTTTGATTTAGAAAGTCTCATTTTGCAAAGCTGCCCTCAGTCAAAAGTGAAGCCTTTTATGTGATGAGACAGCAGACGCCTCTCTTGTCAGTTACGGTTTGTCATGTCTTCCTCTTTTCCTTCTTAGTCTGTAGATCTTTTCACTCTGTTGCCCCAAGCCAACATCCTGCACCACTGAGAACAAGGGATTTTTTTTTCTTTTTCTTTTTTCTTTCTTTTTTTTTCTTTTTTTTCTTTTTTCTTCTGTTGTTTTTTTGTTTTGTTTTGTTTTCTGTTTTTTGTTTGTTTTTCAGGGGGAAGGGCAAGGAGTATATCGTCTACACATTTGGACAAATTTGTCTTTTCTGCTCTTCACTTCATGTCCACATCAAAGTCCAGCACCAGCAGCTTGGTTTCCTCAGTTCCATTCCGACTCCCAACTGCACACACCAGCTTTGTGTTTGAGGCTCTGATCCGCCACACAACTCCCCCACTCCCCCCACTCTCCAATGTGACTAGGTTTCGAATAAATTCACCCGTTTTCAAGTCCCATAGTTTTACAGTTCCATCATCTGAGCTGGTAATTACAAAGTTCTTGTTGAACTGTAAACAGGTCACAGCACTCTGATGCTTGTTAGGACCTAGGCAAAACCAAAGGAATTAAATTACTGGTTAGAAATCATGGGTATGGGTAAGTTACACTGTAATTGTAGCCTACTACATTAGAACATACAATAAATGAAATATTTAAAATGCTGCATATTTAGAAACTGTGAGTATTTTAGGATCAGCAGGGTTGCAAGAAAATCTGGTAGCTATTTGTAACTGAAGCATTAACTTTCAAGAGTTCTGTCTTCCAGGAAGCTTGGTTAGCTACCAGGCACACATTTTGTTTTTTGGCTGTGTAAATAAGAGCTTTCTTAGTGGTGATGGAGACAGATCAGTTTCACGGATTCTGCTGATGGATGAATGGGCAGGAAATCTACCACCCTCACCACTTGGAACTGACCACTCAAAGGCAAAGGCTGAATGACCACAATTCCAAAACTCTGAGGAATAGACACAACCAATGAGTAAAAAGTTGCAGTGCAGGCCCACCAGATGGCCTCACTGAAAAAAAAAAAAAAAAACCACTTTTCAGGGCTATGACCAATAAAAAGAAGTTAATCATGATATAAAATGTTAACACTGTTGTGCCTCATTTAGTATTAGTGGTTTTCACATGATTCTTTCTTCATTTTACTGGGTGCTATTATTCCTTCCATCCTAGTTAAGCAGATGGTTAAAGGATCTAAGTTGAGGCCAAAGCAATTTTCTATCAGATTAGAGATGCTCTCCTGCCCCCCCCCCACCGCCCCCAGTAAGGTAATGCTTTAAAATTGGACTACAAATTAAAAAAAAAAAAATCACTGAAAAAGAAAAAAAGAGTCTGTTGCTTCTATGATATAGCCTAGATCTTTCTTCACACTGTTCTTTAAGGTTAGGTAGAGTTAACTGTACATGTAGGAAGTATTTAAGTATTAAAAACATAATTTAAAACAATTTCTCAGGGGTAACCTAGTTCTGTCACGTCAGAGTGAAAATGCTCAGAAACTTATCCAAAATAAGCATTTTTATTTTGTATGAGGTTAATTCTTTTTGTGACATAAAAGCTCCGTATTTCTCTTCTAACAATCCCATTTTCAATGAACACAACTAAAGCTAAGTAGCCAAGACTTACCTTGCAATGTTTGTAAACACTGTCCTGTTTTGATATCCCAGATTTTAACTGTAGAATCTGCATTCCCAGAGACAAGAATATTGTCTTTGAGTTCCATTCCACTTGTTAACGACTGGTGTCCTGTTAACGTGTGAATGCAATTCCCCGTCTCCACATCCCACACTCGGATTGATGTATCAAGAGATCCACTGACCACATGGATGCCATCAAACTACAATAGACACAGCTTATTAGACTAGAAGTGTGATATTCTTGATATTATTTATTGACCTTAATCCTACAGGGAAGAAAAATAAAGCAGGGAAACAGGTAATGCCAGGAACAAAATGAAGTAACAAGGTAAAGTGCAGGTAATCAAGCAAACCTACAGTTTATGTTCTCAGAAGCTTCTATCAGAATTGCTAATTTTTAAAAAAAGATTTATTTATGTATTTTCGAGAGGCAGGGGAGGGACAGAGGGATAGGAGAGAGAGAATCTCCTCTGAGACTCCCCTCTGAGCACGGAGCCCAAGGCAGGGCTCGATTCTATGACCTTGAGATCATGACTGGAGCAGAAATCAAGAGTCAGAAGCTCAACTGACTGAGCCATCCAGGTGCCCTGAGAATTGCTAATATTTTTATGGCCAGTGGCTTCGAACTAGATGCAGGAACAATTAAAAGAGAACAAAACATGTAAAATGAACATGTTACTTGCAGATCATCTGGCCACAGATGACCAGCTAAATATCATGGATCATTCAATAAGGATTATCATCTGAGTCTTACTTCCCAACAGAAAGTTGAAACTACTGACATAGCCCATGATAAATGCTGTGTTTGTTAATAAACCTATGGCATGAAAAGACTAGAGATAACCCTCATGATGTTTAGAAGTAAGTTCCATTAAAACTGTATGTAAAATAAAAATTTCATTTACAAGAACCAAATATTAATTAGGAAATGCACCAATAGGTAATTACATTTGGAATTACAAGAAGTGGCATTTTGATAACAAAAGCAAGCTATATAGCCTCTCTTCTCCAGGAGTCAATAAATATCAATTCCTAGAAGATCTGGAATAATACTGCTACCTCTTCTCAATCTATCGGTTTACTTAAATGAGATTATATTCATTAAGGTACTGAACATATCACAAAACATAAAAACAACTTCAGTCAATTCCCTCTCCTCCAAATTCATAACCTTTTCTAAGTTAATATACCTTTATTATATATCGATATTTTGTGACACAGACACAGTATTCCATGAATTAAGAAACAAATATTCCAAGAACAGAGAACTGTCAGCACTGTGACTATGTACTAATCTTGCTGATCACTAATAGGTAGTAACTGGTAAATAAATTACATAAGTAATAGAAAAATTGAAAATGCTGTCTTTCAGAAAATAAAACAAGACCCATTTTCTAAATTTGCTATTAATCTAGCTATTTCAAAATATGACAATTCATTCCAAAATATTATGTTCAAATGTAAAAAATAAAAAATCAGTTTAGTCAAATTTACTTCCTATGACTACAGATCAGTAGCCCTTTGATGGTAAAGGAGCCTGATCCAGAAAGCTCCACTTCCACTTTGAATGGGAATGGGTCACAATTACATGGTCCATCAACTTTCAGCTATCAAGGCAAAGGGGCAGCTTTTGGCCAAATAAATCCTCTGCTAAGGAGTTTATTAAAATTCAGGTCATTTTCCTATGAGACTATCTACCCACTAATTAATGTAGTAAAACTTAGAGCTCCAAAGTTTCAGGTTCCAAGACTAATATTTGTATTTTAGAGGAAAAACAGATCACAGAAAAAAATGAAACAAATTAATTAAATAAGTTAAAAATTTATGCTTTTTCCATGCCAATTTGAAAGCATATGTAAACAACAGGATAGTTTGATTTGTCTTTTTTGGATTGTATTTAATCAGCAATTTGACAGTGATTATCTGAGTAAAACAATCTCATGATTCATCAGTAAAGCATCTAAGGGGTAGGAGAGATACGACCTCTTACCTGTAATGAATAGACTCTATTAGTATGCCCCTGCAACGTGTGTAGACAGGTCTCCGTCTCTGGATCCCACACCTTCACCATAAAATCATATGCTCCACTAACAACCCTCCTGCCATCATATTGAACACAGCGGACTGCTGCTACATGACCCATCAAAACATGTAAACACTGGCCTGTCTCGATATCCCAAACCCTAAGAGTGGCATCTCGGGAACCGCTAACAACTCTGTAGGGGGGAAAACAAACAAACAAAAAAAGTATTAGAATTTTTAATAGCATGAGAAAACGTGACATATAAAGTCAGTGGTTACTGAACTTTTCCTTTTCTTAAGCAGGAACACCCATTTTCAAAGAAATCCTATATAAAATTTTGATATATAAACATACAAAAGTCAAGTTATTCTGGCTGGGATGGGAAGTTGGGAAGCCCAGAATTCCACCTGCTTGGTTCCCACATTTACAAGCGGCCGTGTAGCACCCGGGGTTCTGTGGGACTGTTGAAGACTGCTGTACTGCATCTGAAGCAGAAGCAACGGCAGCAACAGCAGCAGCCGCTGGCTCCAAATACATACACAAGATCTTGATTTTAGAAATAAAAAGCTAATGTGGGCAACATCTCTAAAACGTTAATGGGAGAACTCTGGTGGTAGTATTTTGAAAAATTCTGTATTTCTTCTTTATTCTTTCTGCCATTTCCCAAACTTTCAGTGATAATCATACATTCTCTTTGTGACTAGGGAAAAAATTTAATAAATGTTATTCAACAAAATAAATCTGAAATTGGAATTTAAATAGTTAAAGATATGTGCTTTATACCATTATATACCATTATATGGCCTTATACCATTATAATTTTTGTAACAAACTAGTTTTAGAATATCTTCAAACAAAGGCTGCTTATGCTTATAATTATAGTCAATAGGTTATGGAGGTATTAAGATATGCAAATTTTGGAGAAGATACACATGGGGAGGCAATAGAAATCCCTTAAAAATTTGGGCCAACATTATTAAAGCTATGCTCTTCTGAAGACTGGAGTGATACAAACATCGCAATCACCTTTGGATTACGAAGGAGAGCTGAAAACTCAGGTATCTGCATGTCATTCTTAAGAGATAAAGATAGGCCACAGTTTTTACATTTGGAAGAGTAGAAAAGAACATCGAGAGATTTAAGGCAGAATATAATGGAAGCTGAAATACAAGTTCTCTTAATATCAACTCCCCCAAATTTTAATAGTAGAGCACACTACTTAAAGTAGATTCAAATTACAAATGAAAAGGTACTTTTATTCACATATTACAAATCTAGCGTGAAATCTACTTAATGTAATGGTTCTCACAAAGATGATGTTGTGGACAGAATTAAAGGTAAGGACTGGAGCAGATTCATGGTAAGGACTGCCAGAGAGACCGTTTTTGATAAACGAAGTCGAAATCACATTTGTTTAACAAGGTACTGTGAAGACATGCCAATAGAAGATCGAAAGGACTTTAATAGAAGGGCTTTGTAGGAGGAGATCAAAGCAACAGCAAAGGCACTGAAAAGAAAAAAAGGCAAGCAGTCTGGGTTGGCTGAAACTATTTTGAAAACTGGATTGAGGATTTCTTCCTCGATTTGACAGACAACAGAAGGCTCTCAAAAGGCAGTGATACTATCATAATTAGAAAAGGATTCTCTGTCAGTTGTGTAACAGGTGAGAAAACCAAGTGTGAAAGCTATGTCACTAGTTCAGGTGATCGGTAATGAGAGACTCAACAAAACCCCACAGACCTCAGCTTTTGTCTCGATATAAGGGGACAGGATGGAGTTGGGATAGGGTGGGTGGGTAATTAAGAATACTCAGAAGCTTGAAGCGTGAATAACTGAATGTGTCCTGCTAGCAGAGATATAAATATTAAAGAGAGAGAGGGAGAGAAAGAGAGAGAGCCAGAGAGAGAGAGAGAGAGAGAGAGAGATTTTTTTTGGAGATGAGGCATCAAAGATATAGAACAATAAAGTGCCACCCAAGAGTAGAGAAGAGAGTTTCAAGCAGGAAGCCAACAATGCCATTAAATGAAGAAGGAAATTTAAAGATAATCCCCCAATTTTAAGGCAATACACTGCTACTTTGTTAGTACAGAAACATCTTAAGTCTAATAATTAAAGTCTAATTTAAGAGCACACTATCACTATCTCTCTAATAAACACTGTATTATACAACACAAAAAAACCTCAAATTCAGAAGGAACAGAGGAAGAATTCCCAACCATCACAGGATTTTCCCTTACCTTTTTTCATGGAGATGCATACAGCGGACAGTGGAAGTATGCCCATATAAGGTATGTATACATTCTCCGGTCTCTGCATTCCACACTTTTAGAGTCCGATCTGTAGATCCACTAATGATGATATTGTCTCTCATCTGTGATGACCATACTCCACCTGTGTGTCCCACTAATGTTCTCAGACACTGGAAAAACATTTAAGATGATTACTTTCGGGTAGAAAGAAAAAAGATTTACATAACATTTCAGTAGCTCATTAAAATCTGGGGTAAAGTTATTCACACAATTTGTTTGGCACATCAGAAAACAATTTTTCACATCAATATAACATGATACCATCACTATCGATCGCTTTGCTTATTCAGTAGAATTATATATTAAACACGGATACAACTGAGGAACAGGTATGTAGAAAGTAAAACACTTCTCATTAAAGGATGACAGCCCCAGCCTGGTCTCTCTGATGAAATAATGCTAAAATTGCAATTTGGCTTCTTCCATAGGAATGGATTCAATGAAAGAATGCCAACCGTGTTAGGTGTGGCTACATACCACATTTCATCTGAATCTGCCCCAAGGCAATAGTTAGGAGCCAGGCAAGGTACTTCTAGACAAGTAAAGACAGATATTAAAACTCTGAAATAAATCCAAAACTAATATTACACTATGGAAATATGAAGCTGCCTTAAAAAAATGTTAACATCTGACTTGGAATATTTAGAAGGCTCTTGCCCAAGAATCAGCATGCTGTAAGACATTTTAAAGACAGGTTTTCTCCCCCTCACATTTTCCTGTTTTTTTTGTTTTTTTTTTAACCGGTCAATTACTTAATTTATGAAAACATTCTCCAGTGGACAGATAAAAATAAGTATTCACCACAGAACCATTAAGGTGTAATATTGCATGCAGTGAAACTGATTGCTTGGGCTGCTTTTTTTCTTCAAACTCCTACTTAAATACTGTATCTGCTTTACTTTTCATCTCACCGGGCTTAAGACAGTCTAAATTAACATGATTTATTTGACTTCTAAACTATAGGTAAGTTATCAACAAAGCAGTCTACAAAGAAAAAAAATTACCCCTCAATCATAGTTTTGAAAAAGTTTAAAAAGGACAATATAACTGAGATGGTTAGTAAAAGTGTGAAAAATAAAGCCAAGAAAAAGATAAAGCACCTCTGTAAAAATCATATAATAATGAAGTCACAAAGATAGACAAACTATTTACAGGAAGAAACTAATGACATCCCTATCCTGAGGAACATTATCTTTGCTGCCAGGGAAAAAACTAAATTAGAAGCTCTGATATTTGTTATCGAAATAAGCTGCGGTCAAAAGTGAACCCATGGGGCGCCTGGGTGGCTCAGTGGGTTAAGCCGCTGCCTTCGGCTCAGGTCATGATCTCAGAGTCCTGGGATCGAGCCCCGCGTCGGGCTCTCTGCTCTCTACGGGAGCCTGCTTCCTCCTCTCTCTCTGCCTGCCTCTCTGCCTGCTTGTGATCTCTCTGTCAAATAAATAAATAAAATCTTTAAAAAAAAAAAAAAAAAAAAAAAGTGAACCCATGTTTTCCCTGCTTGATCTTTGCAAAGACATATACAAACAGTGAAGTATAGAGAGAAGTAAGCTTACTTTGCCTGTGACTGCTGACCAGACTTTTAAAGTGTTGTCATCAGAACCACTAACTATTCGGTTACCACAAAACTGCAAGCATGTGATCACATGATCATCATGTCCTTTTAGAACCTACAAGATAAATGTACAGATTCGAAATGTTATTAAATTATGTTCTTTAAAATACTAGTGAAAAGAAAAGCAATAAATAGGAACAGCAATCTAGTCTATTTCTAAAATTATAATTTATATAAAACACAAAGTATCATCCTTCCTGAATGATGAATCAAGTATTAAACATTTCATTTTTTCCAATTCTATGATTTATATGAGAGATATCAGCTATTAAAATTGAGTGAGTCAAGACATCATAAAGATGGTTCAAACACAAATGTATAATAATTTATCTGTTCAAACAAAAAAATATGCATCTCTGTTTTGCAATTTTCACACACAAAAACAGAAGCACCTACAAACTAGAAAGACAAGAGTAACAATAATTATCAACTTAATCAAATTAAAACACAAAAGGCCTGGGGCTCCTGGATGGCTCAGTCAGTTAAGGGTCTGACTCTTGATTTCAGCTCAGGTAATGATCTCAGGGTCATGTGATTGAGCCCCCAGTAGGGCTCCATGCTGGGTATGGATCCTGCTTGAGATTCTCCCTGTCTCTCCTTCTCCCTCTGCCCTTCTCCCCCCACCCACTTGCACCCGCTCACTCTCTCAAAAAACAACACTTGTCATAATCTATACATAGTTATACATTAACAGTATCTTCCCTAATTGCTTTTTTCCAGTTGTATAAATACATCTAAGAATTTCAAGCATTTTGCCACTATTTATATACTTACAGTAAGACAGAAAATCAGTAATATGCTTAAATTTATAAAAATAAAACTCACAAGAAACACCCAAAACACAAATAGGCACTCCTCAAAAAATCATGTTCTAACTACGTGGTCAGAGAGCAAGCAAATTCTCAGGTAAACGTATATGACACAAAATTCAACAGGATATTCAGAAATTTTCATTTACCTAAGGTAAAATGACAAGCACTCCAACTCCTCTTTTATTCAAGTACAGTCAATTGTCAAACTGGAGAAATTAGCAATAGAGAACTATCATCCATTACACGTTCAGTTATTTAAAAATACACTGTTTTCTTTCTACAGGATATAGATGTCAAGTTAACTGCTGGCCAAGAAGAGCATACTAGGTACCAACACTGATCAGTGGTTGCTGCTATTGTTGTGCAAGAGTTCAGTTACCTTAGGAGATTTGAGTTCTCCTCGCCTCCAGTTAGTATCAATTCTGTGCTGCCTGATGTATGCACTTTTCCATGGACTGTGTATGAAACCTGGTTTTATTACTTTTCTTCTCTTGATGTGCAATGGTTCATCGATACCTAAAGTTTTAAAGAGTGAGAGTATAACTGCTGTCACCAATAAAAATTACACATTTTATAATGTATCTAATTTCCTCCCATGCTCAAAACCACTTAAAAACAGGATGCTGTCCAATTTCTAAGAGTTATTATAAAACAATAATATAAAGTTTGCATTCTCTATGGCATGTTTTCATACTGACTTTTTCATTTCTTTTTCTAAATAATCCTATGAAATGCTGGTGAGGATGTGCAGAAATTTGAGCCCTTATGCAATGTTTGTGGGAATATAAAATGGTATAGCAGCTATGGAAAATAGTATGGTGGTTCATCAGAAAAATTAAACATAGAATTACCATATCATCCAGCAATTCTAATTCTGGATATACACCCTAAAGAATTAAAAGCAGAGACTTGAACAGATATCTGTACACCCATGTTCAGAGCTGCAATCATTCATAATAGCTGAAAGGTGGAAGAAACCCAAGCACCCATCAGTGGATGAATGAAGAGGCAAAATGTGTGTGTATTCACACACACACACACACACACACACACACACACACACACATACAATGGAATATTTATTCAGACTTAAATAGAAGGTAATTCTGACACACGCCACCACATGGATAAACCTTCAAGACAAGTATGCAAAGTGAAATAAGCCAGTCACAAAAAAACAAATACCATATGATTCCACTTTATATGAGGCATCCAGAGTAGTCAAACTCTGGATGACAGAAAACAGAATGGTGGTCTCCAGGTGCTACAGGGAGGAGGACTAAGGAGTTACTATTAAATAGGGATGGACTTTCAGGCAATATAGATAAAAAAGTTCTGGAGATGGACTGTATAACAACACAAATGTACTTAATGCTACTGAACTGTACACTTAAAAATGGTTAGAAGAAATTCTGTCTTAGGTATATGTTAGCATAATTTTTTTTTTTAAAGTCATCAAAATAATGATTCTATGAGAGAAGGTAAGGCAGGGATGATTAATCCCATTTCGTACAATATAGATTCTTGAGAACAGCCTTCTCTTCACTAATTAGTCCAAGTTACGGACAGGGCAGAGGCAGGATTAGAAACCAACTCTCTTAGATCTTAACCTTTCACTCACCTGTAACTTCTTTGAAGGGGAGGATAACCTACAGAGTATCTGTCTCATGCTCTATGATTGTTTCTAAAAATTTTTGCTTATCAGAGATAAATCAGATCTTTACATTTTTTTCAAAAATATAATTTTTCTATATGCCTGCTGGAAAAAAAGATTCTTTCTTTAGTTAATATGCATGATACCTTCTCTTCTACTAAGAAAGGAGATTTTTTTTTTTCCCACAGTTTTCAAGAACATAAGCTCCATGATGGGAAGAAAATGGGAGTTCACTATTATATCCCCAGCATTTAAGAATGTCTAGCCCATAGGAGGTGTTCAATAAATATTTATGGAAGGAAAGAATAGAATATGGAATATTTGACTACTGTCTATATAATTTTGGGGTTTCCCTTATTTTATTCTATTCTATTCTATTTTATGAGTGCATGAGTGAATAGTCACTCATTCCTGTGGATTCCAGTCAGTGAGTATGTCTCCCAAGGACAGCTGCAATTATAACCTTTATCTCTAATTGTAAATATTGGAGTGGCAGGACACCTTTCTCATCCATAAAATCACTGGTAGAAATTCATATATATCTTATTTTAAGCAAAAGTTTATATTTAGGTCTTTTGTCTTTTAACTGAGGTATAACTGATATACTATATTAATAACAGGTGTACAGCATAGTGATTCGATATTTATATACATTGCAAAATGGTCACCATAATGAATCTAGTTATCCTCTGTCAACTCACAAAGTTACTACAATATTATTGACTATATTTCCCATGCTTTCATTTTATCTCCATGACATACTTATTTCATAATTGGAAGTTAATTTAAATTAAGAATTGGAATAATTACAACATTTTACCACCCTCCCTCCTCCGCCCCAGCAACCCTTCCCTCGGGCAACCATCAATTTGCTTTCTGTATCTATGGGTCTGTGTTTTGTTTTTCAGGTTTCCTTTAAATCATCCTCATCTTGATCTTTTCATTGGTTATTAATTATACTAGAGACTGGGAAGCAAATCAGACCTATTTCCTATTAGTTATTAGTGCTCATTAAAGGGGTTAGCTCCAAGATTTGGCTCATCTGAATGTATGGAATAACCTGTGGATTTTATATAAGTAGATGAATGTAAATGAAGACTCATTCTTGATTCTTTGATAGGCTGCCAAAGTTCTTTTCTCAATTATCCACTACTTTAGTCTACATGCACATAAAACTTCTAATTTTTACTTTTTCTATTTGCTTTCTGAATCACTTTGCTTTTTCAAAGTATAAAGATCTTCTCTTTGTGATTTTGAACCTTACCCTCTTCTTTGCATTTCTCTCTCCAGAGAAGGTTGTCTTCAGCCAAAATTCTCCAGTAGCGACACGTCTGAGCCGCTTGTAGCAGGTCTTTGGGTTCCAGGAATGAAAGCACATAAAGTGCCAGCTATGGAAAGGAAAAAGCATAATATACCCATGTTTTAAATATATATGTGTGTGCGTGCGTGCATGTGTGTGTGTGTGTGTGTGTGTGTGTATGTTTAACATATAAATAATTAACTTATCTAGAACAATCTTCTATAGAATGAAGTACTTCTAGATAAACGTAATATAATTCTACATTCTATTTTCTTTAATTACAAAAGGGAGTACTTTCTAATAGTCAACCTTAAATATATACCAGACTTAAAAAACTTACTGTATTGGTTTTTATGAACTTCACTCCACCAACTTCACCTCTTCAAGGAATACTTATTAAGCCTCTCTGTCTCTGCTTTTGCCTTTGTTCTGTGAGCCTCAACTCGAGAATTCTACCATTTATGTATATAGGTATACTTTACTAGTTGTTTAGATTCTGTGCTTTTCTCTCCCCATGACCAAATAAATTCACTCAAGACAGGACTTAAATTAAGAAATGAGATTTCGGGGTGCCTGGGTGGCTCAGTGGTTTAAAGCCTCTGTCTTCAGCTCGGGTCATGGTCTCAGTGTCCTGGGATCGAGCCCCGCATCAGGCTCTCTGCTCGGTGGGAAGCCTGCTTCCTCCCTCTCTCTCTGCCTGGCTCTTTGCCTACTTGTGATCTTTGTCTGTCAAATAAACAAATAAAATCTTTCCCAAAAAAAAGAGATTTCTAGATATTCTGTGTGACATGATTTCAGATCACTCCTGATAGAGATAATTAATGGTTCTTTACCACAAAAAGTATTTATTATCACAATGATGAACTTTTCAAACATTTATACCCTTTACCAACAATTAATAAATTGCTCCACAGGCATATAAAATTAGGTTCTAATTACTTTACATTGTTTATGGGGATTTTCTTGATGGGCCAGATAGATTTTTGTAGGTTTGAACTAGCTCTTTAGTATATCACTGATTTTAAATTTTGTTTCCAATATTTCCAAACCATCAACTTTTTTTTCAGCATGTATAGTCAATTCAAGTAAATAAGGGCAGAAGAAAGAAGAAGGGAATAGTAGCTTCTGAGTATGCTTATCCAATTAGCCTCACTAATCACATAAAAATTTAAGTTACAATATTAGAATCAAAATGAGCTAAACACAGCAATAAAGTTTAGTTTTCACAGAAATTAAATTATAAGTATTAAAACAAACTATTATTCAAATGGCTAAAGGCCATATGGCGAGTAAAAGCACAGTTTGAATTGTTTTCTGATACTAAACAGTAATTACATGACATAAATTGTGCTTACCCAAGAACTTTGCATATAGAGAGTTCATCATTAATCACATATTTATTGAGTACATTTCATATAGAAAGTACTCCAACCAGTCAGTATTCAATTTAATACTACTACTACTATTTGACAGTAAAAATATTTCTGTGGAATAATCAGTTTTGGTCTATCAGAGAAGCCCATTTAGTCGGAATCATTTTAAATAAAAAGGCATGACTATATATTCAACAAGCTACGTATATGTGTGTATGTATACACATATACAAATACACAAACACATATATATCTCAACACTGTACTTCTTTAGTGGATACTCCATAAGTCACTTAATTTTGAAATTATTCAATCTATCAAAGCCCGGACAAGTTTCCTCAGTGTCAGTATACCAGTAATGGGAAAGCACCATATTCTTTTTCTTCTATGTGAAATTGATATTTAACATAAAAATTATCAGGCACAAAGTTATACTCGTGGAAAAGAGATGCTATTTAGTGCCCAAGATATTTAATATGGTCACATGAAAAAGGCTCTTCTTTGCTTAGTTATCCAGTAGAAATCATGTAATTCACAGAAACAGTCACTGGATCTTAAAGGTTAGAAAACAAATCCAGAGCACCTTAGATTTCAAAGGTACATCCCAAATCATCAGTTACAATATCCTTCATTACCGGTGACTGTGAGATCACCTAGTCTAAGGTCTGTCTGCTTTAAAGAGTAAAGAAATACTTAGGCGCTAAAGAATGTTGAAGTGCTAACCCCACAGGTAACTGGCACACTTTCCTTTAAAATAGCAAAGAACCTAACTCAACCATGAACTTCAACTTATTCTATTTAAATCTAATCAGTTCTATTCAAAACATCTAAGTATTTCAGAAAACACACACAGCAAAATAAAAAATATGAATAAGAAAATCAGAACCAGTAAAAATATAAATCAGAAAAGGAGGTTTAAACCAGGGGAAAGTAGAATACAAATATACTGGCAACAGTATCTTACATGGTTTTTTAATTAAACTGCCAAGCAAAAAGGGAATGGTAATTAGTTACACAATTCTTAGTGTTTATTATGGAAGAAGTATACCAGATCCTCAAAGGAAGCAAGGTTTTGTCAAGCGGGGCTCCTTACAGGGACCAGAGAGTGGGCACTGTCCTGAACTACATCCTTAAAACACCAAAGCAGGGAATTACAGGTTTCTTCCAGCCAACTAAAATGGTGTGGCTAATGCAGTTTTCTATTCATTTGTCCTAAAGGTAAAATCTAGATAGTAATTCCTCCTAAGGACTTCCACTAGACAGAAGCTCTTAAGTTGAAAATCTGTTTCATAAAATTAACTTTTCTTTGACCAAACTTGAAATTTCAGTGTGAGTCGCCCTTTTTTTGTTCTTCTCTTATGTAACCTACATTAGAGACCACCATGTTATACTTGAGAGGTAGATAATACTTGCCCAGAACTGCTATATTTCCATGGATTGAACTAAGTTGAAAGAGGGAGGGAAAAGAATAAAGAAAATGTTGGCTGATCCTATGTTAAGAATTTAAGTTTTACTCTAGGCCATCTACTATATCACTATGCTTTTCTTGGTATTCACTTACAAAAATAAGGATAATGCTGTTTATCACAAGCCTCCCATGTGAGACTAGTGAGATTTTTTCAAGGTTTTGAGATTAATATGTGTTGGTAAAGAGCTTTGAGATCTGTTGAAAGGAATTATATGAAAATTATTTTAAGTCCATTTCCTGACATGAAGGTAATGTTTTAAATAATAATAGTACATAGTCTCTAATAAGATAATAGTTTCCTCAAAGATTTAGACCTATACCATTATTTCTCCACATATTAAAAAAAAGCATTTTTTTTCAAAATAGGAAATGCTTCCTACTAGTTGAAAAAAAGGAAAACACAGATGATCTGCAGAGTCAGAGCCCTCTCTCATTCTTCTATCTACGCTTCCTTCTATTTCCTCAGGCAATATTTAAAAGGAGAGTTAGTCCAAGAAAATCTTTATTACATTTACATCAGTTATCAATAATTTGTGCTTAATTCTTAGACTCTTAAAAATATTTCATATTCTCCTGACTTTGAATCACATTTTTGAGTGTTCAAAAGTTATTATGCAAATACAAATAAAGTAAAACAAAATAATCACCACTCATAGAGATAAGGGGACAAACGAGACTATGCAGAAGTCTGTATATTAAAAAAATACTACCTTCTAAAATAAGGAGGACAGCCAAGGAAACCATGATATATATACCATAATAATATCAGAGGTGACTAACTTCACTTTCAGTCAAATACTTATGAAAGTGCTACCTACTATGAATGTTCTTCTGGAAGCAAAGAGAGTTTATATCATTTCCTAAGCCAATTCCATTCAAAGGGTTCAGTTTTAGAATGAGCCAGCAAGAGTAAAAAAATTCTTTCTAGGACAATGCAACTTTTTTTTTAACCACTGTAAAAAATCATTCCAAAGCAGTAACATTTTAGTTTGTCTTTTTTTCCTGGAGTAATGCTTAGTTTCATACATTAAATATGATAAAACTATTTTACTCATATCCGATGTGAAATTATTTTTGAGACGATGTTTAATATCCATAGGATATTTAGAATGGTTATTTAAAAGAGTTGACTCCTTTCATATTTGAAGTTTCCAGATCATTTTCAGTGGTATATTACTGTTTAATATATTGTCTTCTTAGCTGATATATAATTAGTGGCACATATATAATTTGTGAAAATATAAACCATGGTGACATTGATTATTTAATTTTACATTATTTGTTTGCAGACAGAAATGAAACTGTGAAGCATATAACATCCGTAAAAGAACTACATCTAAGCTAAAAAACAAATGAGCATAAATGATTCCAAAAGAAATGCTATAAAGATATAATCAATGCAGGAAATCTATGATTGTGTGTGTGTGTGTGTGTGAGAGAGAGAGAGAGAGAGAGAGAGAGAGAAAGATGGGGGCAAGAAAAGGAATGATCAGTAGAAAAAGATATACATGTGAAATTCCGTATTTTTCAAAACAATTACACAATGTAAGTTAACAGAACTATAATTTATAGAATCACAAAACTGTTAAGGATTATTAGGGACTTTGGATAAATAAACAACAAAATAAGAAAAAAAAACACTGCTGTTTTAATAAAATCAGAATTTCTAAAAAAATCTACTACTATATATAATAAATGTACCATGACAACTAAAGGCCGGACTTTAAATAACCTGGGGGAAAAAAATCGAGATAAAGAAATAATCAAATTAATGGAACTCAATAGCTTAATCTCATATATGACTTACTGCAGTGGTGGAAAGAAGTCACCTAATAAGTCCATAAATATACTTTAATCTGAAAATGATATTATTAAGTCATGGCAGCTTATCATTTACAACCTAATTAAGAGTGTTAAACCGACAATACTGAATACCATAATTAGCATGACCATGTTTAAAGATGGTTGCTGTTGAGTTATATTTTCAAATAGCACCCAATGAAGACTATAATTGATAACCCTTACCTCTTTAGGAAGCAAGGAAATGAAGTCTCGCTGAAACTGGGGTTCTATCACTTGCATCATATGTTTTACTTGGGTTGGTTCACAACTATCAATAAGCTCATCTAAAGCAAGCAATTTCTCTGGTCCACTCCAGCTCTATGAAAAGGGAAGCAGAAATTTTTATTACTTTAATAGATATCTCAAATTACAAGCTCATAAAGGAAAACCACATTTACACATAACATAAAAGGTGGCTACTTATAGCGAAATTTTCTCCAGAAGTCATTGATGTGATAATCAATTAGTCTCATCAAATTTACTAGCTACCTTTATTTTTTTTAATTTAAAAAAGCCATGGTTTTGACAAATATTTTTGCACTATGTTATTTATTACAAATATGATATGTTCATGTACCATCAAGATATTGGCTGAGAAACCAAAGTTTTATCCGGAAACATCAATTTGGCTACTGAGTAAATAGGGTATTTTGAAAGATGATCTTCCTTTCTCTGTATTCTTTCTAGTGGGCACCATAAAATTTTTGATAGTGTTAATAAGGCACTCATCTGAGAGTTAAGAACCTGGCAGCATCATTTAGAGAAAAATTAATAACTGGATATACTGCACATCTGACAAGTGCCTTCCACAAAATAAAAGAGCTTTGATTTATTATGTGAAAATAATTTCAGATAAGAAGTAGCAAAAATATAAAACAGTAACTAACTTAGTAATAAAATTAGAGTATGAACAAAAGGATCAGAAACAAAGCACTACATTATGGAAAAACAAAAACACATCATAATACTTTTAAAAATATGAGCTACTTTAAACTAGACTAGGGGATTATTTAAAACATCTTTTTTTTTTTTTTTTTTTTTGCCAGTGAGGATCATCTGCACAGAAGAGCCATGATTCTTAAGAGGAAAAATTAAAAAGCTATGTGACTAATTTAAAATGTTAGAATCCCCCCCAACAATAATCATGTAAAACATTTATTTTTCTTTAAAAAATTTATTTATGTATTTGCCAGAAAGAGAGAGAGAGTATGCACAAGCAGGGGGAGCGGCAGGCAGAAGGAGAAGTAGACTCCCTGCTCAGCAGGGAGACCAATGTGGGGCTCAATCCCAGGACCCTGGAATCATGACCTGAGCTGAAGGCAGATGCTTAAGTGACTGAGCCACCCAGGCACCCCCACATAAAACATTTAAATAGCCTTGTAATATTTAAGTGAAAGAACAACCTTGAGTAGGATGATTTAGGTACATTTGTGAATTATTATGTCCATTTTGGAAGCAGGTTAAGAGAGAACAATAGGTGGGGTTTGGAGCTAGAAGGATCTGGATTTTAACATTCCATTTCTTGCTCAAATTAGGCACCTGGATCTTATAACATGTGAAATAGATAACAACCGAAAACTGAGATATACTGAGGATACAGGAAGCCTTATTTAGAATACTTTTTAAAAGTACATAAAAAATATTTTACCCCCTTAAAATCTACAATGAATTTCATTTCTTCTTTTCTATCATAAAGTGTAGATTATGTTAATACTATCAAACATTTCAGCCATATTCCTCCCATAGTACTTACCACAAATATTACCTTATTGAATCAAAAAGCCCTGGGAAACATTCGCATTTTACCCCCAAATATAAGGAAACCCAGGTTCTAATAAATCATATTCTTTCATTTCTACATATACACGCACCTAGAACATTCACCCTTCTCAGTTAGGGTGAGGACACACAGAAATAAAAAATACTCATATGCATGTATCTGCATACACATGACCAATTAAAAGCAGTTAATTTAAAGTTTGATCGTCTTGTTCAGTTTTCCTTACACAGCTTCAAATCCTGGTTTAAAAATTTATCTCTTTGACAAAACTTAAACTGTGATGTTAAGTGTATGATCAGAGCACTCATCTCTGATCATTTAGTATTAATACTATAAAGTCTGATTTACTGATTTACATTCCTCTCAGGACTGAAGGTGGGCTTTTATAACATGTTGTGCCTCTGCATCTATATAAGGATTCATGGACACTACTATACGGACATGCCAATGTGGGTGATGGACAACTTATGCTAACTAGATTAAAATGCAGCTTTAAGTAACTCTATAGCATAATAATTTTTTAAAGATTTCATTTACTTATTTGAGACAGAGCAAGAGAGAGAAAAAGCAGGAGGGGGGTGGTCAGAGGGAGAAGCTGACTCCCAGCTGAGCAGGGAGCCTGATGTGGGACTTGATCTGGGGACTCTGGGATCATGACCTGAGCTGAAGGCATATGCTTAACTGACTTAGCCATCCAGGAGCCCCTAATGCAAACTTTTTAAACCCCTTTGCATATATGAATGCCTGCCCTAGAAATAGTTTTTGGAAGTGTTTATGGTTAAATTTTAATATGAAAATAAGGGTATCATAGGTAATCTTTTACAGTGAAAAGTGAAAATCTTTTGACATATTACTACTCTATATACTTTACATAGATTAATGACATTAATAGCTACTATGAATATTTCTACTTTAAGGTAATATACATATTTGATGTTTCCTTTTTTCAATTAATGTATTGTTACTATTTTCTTAAGAAAGAAAGGAATAGAAAAACATTATCAATACATGATATATAAGTGCGTCTTTCATCAAGGATTTTAGGAGATAGGGTGTAGAATGAGAAAAGACAGAACAGAAGACAAATAGCTGATTCCTACCTTAAACACTAAAAACTATGTCAGAAATTTCTATATAAATTTCTATATACTTAAGGAAAAGTCCATGACAAAAACTATGCCTGCATAAATGATTTTTTAAGATTTTATTTATTTGAGAGAGAGAGAGAGAGAGAGAGCACAACAAGCAGGGGGAGTCACTGGAGGAGAAGGAGAAACAGGTTCCCTGCTGATCAGGGAGCCTGATGTGGGACTTGATTCTAGAACCCTGAAATCCCGACCTGAGCTGAAGGCAGATACTTAATCGACTGAGCCACCCAGGCACCCCAACAATGTTTTTGTTTTAAACACTATTTGGGGGCATGTGAGTGGCTCAGTCGGTTAAGAGGCTGCTTTCAGCTCAGGTCATGATCCCAGGGTCCTGGGATCAAACACCGCATCAGGCTCCCTGCTCAGCAGAGAGCCTGCTTCTCCCTCTCCCAGCTGCTCTGCCTACTTGAGTTCTCTACCTACTTGTCAAATAAATTAAAAAAACAAAAATACAAAAAAAAAAAAAACTTTAAAAAAATAAAAATAAACACTAGTTGGGGTTTAACAAGTCAAATAAAAAGCATACCTTGATTTAAATTATATATACATTCAGCAGAGGGTACTTTGTGACATTTTATTGAAAAGTACACCACAGACAAGGATGAGCAACATAGGCTGTAAACTAGATGGTAAATGAGACTGTTTCCACAAGCACATATATTCAACAGTCTCATTGCTCATTAAAATCACATCTCTTTGATGGTTCAAACAAGGGTATGAGCCATACAGATACTTTCCTCTCTCCAGTCTGGATTTCTTCCTTAACTCCAGACCACTATATAAAATTGCTTACTCGATATGTATTCTAAGATACGTAATAGAAACAGCATTTCCATGATCCTTCTCTTCAAATATGCACATCCACAATCCTCCCTATTTCAGTAAAATGTAACTCCATTCTATTAGTTGCTCAGGCCAAAAACACTGGAGTCATCCCTGACTCTCCCATTCTCACCACTGTTAGATGGTACCGGTCCATCAACAAATTTAAAAGTCTTTTTTTTTTTTTTAAGATTTTATTTAACAAATTTAAAAGTCTTAAACTTCAAAATATATCAGAATCTGACCATTAACTACATTCGTCTAGTTACTTTTATCTCTCACCTGGATTATTCCTATAACCTTTTAGTCTCTCAGCTTCCTACCTTTGCCCTCCTCATTCTGTTCTCCACAAAACAGTGATATTCTACTTAAAACCCTCTACTGGCTTCCCACTTCAAAGCAAAAACCAAAATCTTTAGGTTTGCCTACAAGGTTCTAATTTCCTACTCCTACCCCTCTTGTTTCCTCACTTTAGCCATAAACACATCAAGCATTCTCTGCTTCAGAGCCTTTTAACGTGCTACTCCTACAACATTCTTGCCCTTGATATCCACATGGCTTGCTTCCTTCCTTCCTTCTGAGACCTACTCTGGACAACCTTTCTAAAATTGCAAACCAGTTCCAACACTCTCCTCCCCATTCTACTCCCCTCCTGACTATAAGTTCTGTGAAAAAAAGGGTTTTGGTCTGTCTTGTTTACTACTGTGTCCCAAATCCAAAGTAGAACCTAGCACCTGACAGGAGCTCAGAAATGATTTGCTGAATAAATAAATGAATCCCCAAAGAATCAGGAAATACCACACCACCACAATCTCAAAATTCTCTCCAGAGAGTATTTCTAGTATTTATATTTGACAGTATTACTAGAACTTACTTGTTTAGTCTGGTTCCAAGACTGGTTCCAAGTTCCAAATTTTATATACATACATGATTTACCAGCAAAAAGTATGTATTAACTTGAAAACCTAGCATTTAATGACTATATTAAAACAAGTAACAACAACCCACACCAACCTTTAATGAGGAATAGTGGAAAGAGCACTGAATTGGGGCTCAGAAAACCCAACTTCTGGAGAACATACTGCCACTAATTAGACTACAGTTTAACCTCTGTGGGCCTTAGTTTCTTTATCTGCAAAAGTGCTGCGTAATTCTGATAATGTTTTTATTTCTGTTCTAAAAACCAGTTGTCCTGGATAAAAGCATCTACCTTTGGTTTTTCATAGTAAAGTTATCTGAGAACATATTTAAGGGGATAGGAAAAACATTCCAAACTCGAAGAAGATCAAGAGAAACAAAGCTTGCTTTGTGGGCAAAATTGCAACTGCAAACTTGAAAACTCTCCATGTAAGTGCTATTTTATTTCAGATAATTAGAAAATACAGGTAGGAGAAAAGAATATAAGGAGCACCGAACTGTAATCAGAAGCTTGGGTTTCACCAGTAAATTCACTATGCAACCATATGAAAGTCCCTTAATTAATCTCAGAGACCCCACTTGTTTAATAAGGGGCTTGGTCAAGGCCAGGGTCACCCAGATGCTGGTTGGGGAGGGTTAAGGATCAGAGTCCTATGACTCGCCATTAGAGAATCTGATTCAGTGGTCAAGGTGGGGCTGAGGACATTTTATGTTTTAAATAAACAACTCATCCAGTACTGATGCAAGTGATTAATAAACCAGTAGTTGTTACTACTTTGGACGATCCCTATAACCCATTCACACAAACATTTTATGACTTTGGCCAGTACTGTGCCTGAATTTCACATAGTCAAGAACTCACTTCTTAAGACTTTTTAAAACTCTTCCTCATACAAGGTTTCTTGCTCATACTGTCTCAAATACAATTGCAAAGTAATACTAAATTCATTTTCTTTTGGCATTATCCTGTTTTAATATTTTGTTGACTAGCAAATAAAAAAGACCAAAATAAAATAAGCTAGAGAACATGTACAATTTCTAAGCATTAACATGGAACTATATTAAATCTTTCAAGAGAGTATTTTTATTTCACTTTTAATTTCAAAACACACAAGTATTTTCTACTTTATCATTTAAAAAATATTTTGGGTGCAAGTATTTTCAAAGTACTTTCACAGTTTTAATGCAATGCAAATTTGTTTTGATTAAAATAATGTTAATAATGTTAAGCTAGTAACATTTGTATGAAGCTGTTTTTAAAAGCCCCTTTTTTAGACCTCAGAAAAACTAAGGCTTGCAAAGTTTATTTCTTGACCAAGAGAGGAAACTAATATTTATTGAATCTCTGCTATACTTCCAAATGAAGCTTTAAGCACATTTATATGTTGTCTCCTGTTTGACAACTTTTTAGTGTTATACCTGTTTTACAGAGGATTAAAATAAGGCAAGAGTGATTATATAATACCACCAAAATTCCCTAGTATTAGGAGGCAAAGCTAAAATTTTTACTAAGATCTTTTTCTTCTAAGTTATATGTGTTTCTCATTATAACAGGATACCTCTAAATATAATTTCAACGTAAGATAATGCTAATGTTACTGGTGCCTTTACTTACTCTAAAATTTTCAAGTAACAAACCCATATATTAACACCCAAATGCACAAGCAAACAAATGGCCAATCCTCTGCCCCGAAATTAGCAACCTGAAACATCAATCTGGCTGCCAAAAAAAGCAGGATCCATGGCTACTAAATATTTCCACAGTACAAGATTTCTGTTTTTTTTTGTTTTGTTTTGAATTTCCACTTCTATATTGCAGTGGTATTTTGTTTCAATTTCCCATTATCCAAAATGGTGTATCATTTGTTCTCATTCAATTTATAAATTGAGTACAGAGTACTTTGTCAGAATAGATGGAGCTGGACCGAAACAATGCTGTATCACTGCCTTAGGAGCAATAGCAGAACAGTAAGGGGACAAGCGCTCTCATTTTGCTTGTTATGCAACGGAAAAGTCCTCATTAAATACCCCCACAGCACCTCTGTAGAAATCATGCCAGTTTAATTATCCCTCAACATAGCACATAGGTCAACTCATGACTCCCTGACTTTACTATGAAATTATATCTCTCTACATGTTAGGCATGAAAGCACTGTAAGCTCTGAGGCAAGTGATTCATCTCTAGTTCCTTTGGTGCCAGCCCTGAAAATAAAGGGCAATGCCCAACAATGAGGCCCTGGGTCAGAGATGGATATAGTACTCAAAGGATTAAGGTCCTGATATACCTGTCTAGTTGGCCTTTTGTTGTTATGCAGCTATATGCTGCAGAATATTTACCTGAAAAAATACATATAGTACTACACCTGCAGGGATAATTCTACCTATTATTCCTATTAGCTAAGAACAAGTTGTCTTCACTACATCTACTTGTCATATGAAAAGCAATCAAATGGGCTTTTTTTTTTTTTAAACAGAACAAAAGCTAACCTAATATTCTTTAGTTTAATGAGTCTTACTAATTCTAAGAAATGATTTTTTTAAAACAAAAACATTTCTGAAGATAGAATGTTTCTAAAAAACCTATGGTCTCTCAGACTTGAGACACAGAGTATGTGGGAACATGTGGACATTTCATCAAGAAAAGTATGAGTTAGGGATGCCTGGATGGCTCAGTTCGTTAAGCATCTGCCTTCAGCTCAGGTCATGATCCAAGGTCCTGGGGTCAAGCCCTTCATCAGACTCCCTGCTTGATGGGAAGCCTGTTTCTTCTTCTCCCTCTGCCATTGCCGCTTCTTGTGCTCTCTTGCTCTCAAATAAATAAATAAATAAATAAAATCTTAAAAAAAAAGAAAAGAAAAGAAAGAAAGAAAAAGCATGAGCTAGCTAAATAGGCAAGCATTATACAAAGACCTTCCTAAAATACCCCTCACTGCAAAATAAAGCACAAAGGGTCCTGGGATCAAGCCCTAAGTATGAGTCTAGGTTCCCTGCTCAGCAAGGGGCCTGACTTTGACTCTCCCTCTGCCCCTCTCCTGCACATGCTCTAAATAAATAAATAAAGTCTTTAAAAAATGCTATGAAATCAGCTTCTGCATTACTCTCAAGTGCTGTGCTGCTCTCACTGTATATATGTGCAAGCATGACAACACACATCTACATTTCCATCTCCTTGGCTTAATCAAAGATGATAAAAATCTTTAAAGTAATTCTTTAAAAGTGTGAATGTCTGAGTCCTATTTTGACCTCTTACTGATGGATAAATTTCTTATCAAAAGGATATGGTAAAAAAAAAATTTTAATTGAGTGCATGCATAGGAAAAATTAATTAAAAGTTTTAAAAAATCAGGAACCTAAGGCAATGGAACTGGGAGGAGGAGAGGGAATAATCCTTGGGGAGAGGTAAATTTAGTCATTTTGTGACTATGAAAACAGAAAAAAAATTTTTTGTAATTTTAGTTGTTCATAACATCACAATAAGAATAATACACAAACTTTCATTCCTCTAACCCACAGATTCTCAGTCTCACACTGGTGACATTTTGGTCCAGAGAACAGTTTGCTACAAGAGGCTGTCCTTTACATTGCCCCTACCCACTAGATGCCAGCAGTGTCCTGCCCTCCACCCCATCAGTTGTAACAACCAGAAATGTTTCAACAGAGGGAAAAATCTGCCCCCTGTTGAGAACCACTGCTCTAACCTTTCAGTTACCAACTGAAAAAAAAAGGTTACCCTAGTTTCTCTGAAATCACCTGAAGGGCAGAAAACAATTTTAAAAACCCATTTAAAAGCAACATTGATTCAAGTGAGTTTTCTAGCTATAGAAGAAAAAGATTAGGACATTTATTTAGATTTTGCCCAGGAATTTAATATATAAGGATTTACACAATGGACACCTTAAAAATCTGAAATATCAAATAAAGTATCTTCTTTTTCCCTTATGCATTTTTATTCCCTTATACATTCATAAAATACCACCAATTAAGCAGCTGGAGGTAAGGAAATATACTCATTTTTACATTAGTGCCATCTAATATCAGAGATAGCTTCACTTTACATAATTTATATTATTTAGTATTTACAAAGAATAATTAAGCAAATGCTTAATCTAGGTCAACAATTTTGCTAAATACTTGATTTATATGCATTATCTCATTGGAAGAAGAAACAAATTAATTTACTATCACTATCATGAGTTATAAAATTCCTAACAGAGGTTTGGTTGTAACCAATCTTCCCGGTAAACTTTCAAAGACTACATGCCAGTAAAATACAGTAATCAGAATTTTAACACAATAAGCCACGTACAAGCACGGCACAGATGAAAAGAAGCTGTATCAACTCTTGGAGACTACTAGGGTAACAGTGATGGGTAAGTCACCACCTGTGACTACTAATTAGCAGAGTTCCTACATTACTCCTAAATGTCTAATTTCCAAACACTACATTTTATTTATTTTTAAAAACATTTATTTATCTGAGAAAGTGTGTCCGTGCACACATGAGTGACGGGAGGGGCAAAGGGAGAAGGAGACAGAATCCTCAAGCAGACTCCCTGCTGAGCATGGAGACTGACAAGGTGCTCAATCCCAGGCCCTGAGATCATGACCTAAGCGGAAACCAAGGATTGCCTGCTTAACGAACTGAGCCACCTGGGCAACCCCCAAGCAATAAATTTTAGAAAACAAGTACATTCAGCAACCCCAGAAACCCAAACATAAAGGAGAAAAGGAAGAAAGGTCTTATTATCTAAAAAGCAATAAAAAATGCAAATGCACACTAATACAAAACAAGCACTGGATTCTCTCAATTGATACACTTAAAAATTAAAATGACCTCCCTTATTTTCAATAGCATTTTTTTATTGACAAACACTTCACATAACATAAAACTCACCATTTAAAAGGTACACTTAAATGATTTCCAGCACACCTATCTTGCTGGGCAACCATCATCACTAATGACTCCAGAATAGTTCCATCACCCCCAAAAGAGATCCTGTACTTATAAGCAGTTAGTCCCAATATCCCCTCACCAATCTCATTGCAATTACTAATCTATGTTCTGTCTTTATGGATTTGCCTGTTCTGGATATTTCATGTAAATATAATAATGCAATATGTGGCCTTTCGTGTCTGGCTTCTTTCACTTAACATAATGCTTTCAAGGTTCATCCATGGTGTAGCATGTAACAGTTCCTTCTCATGGCTGAGGAATAAATCCATTATTTTTTGCAGCAATTAAGTGAAGCATTTCAAGTACTGTGTTTAGACATGTCACCTGAAACATTTTCAGCCATTCCTGGAGGCCTGTAGGTGGTTGGACAGATGTAATTCGGCGTCGTTGTTGCCCTTGGCCATTGGCTGCTCTCAGGTCTCCAAATGTTGTTGGTGTTGCTGAACATGGTACAAGCCCAGTGGTACTACAAAAAAAAAAAAAGAAAGAAAGAAAGAAAAAAAAAACCCACAAGAGAGGAAACAAAGATAGGCATTTATTAACAATAATGGACTTTAATTTAATAAGAATATGATCTGGCATATTTCGAACATCAATAAAATTATTACTTTTATTTGCTTATTCCCAGAGAGCAAGGATACACAAAATCTAGTCTGCTATTCTTAGAGTAGGTTTCCTGCCTCCTACATAGCCACCTGTTATTATCCCAGCAATGTTAATTGCAACCAAATGACAGAATCTCTATGGCAAAACTGCAACTTATTGATACATATAAGTAATGTTAAAATATATCCTTAGAAGATACAGTTCCCATCTCTCTTATGACCACTCCTTAGTGACTTAATTAAAGAAAAGTTTAAGTTTCCCTAATAAAAAGACCTATAAAGCTTACTAATGTTTTTAAAAATTCATACGTAGAAGCAGTATGCTCAAATATTTTGGACATTTCACTAGATATGTTCTGAATTATTTATAATATTTATTTTTCTCCAACTTCCCACTGTTGTTCATAAAGCTTAGCCTAGATGACATTTGACAAGAACAAGCCTTGATTAGACATAGATTTACTCAAAACAGTTAAATATTGAAAACTTACTATGTTATATGTAAAAATAAATAAAATGAGATGATCTAAATACTTTAATCCAATAATTTAAACTCTGAGACATTAAAGGAAAAAAAACCCTGAAATTGAATTCTGTCACTAGTAAAATGAAAGAGTTAAGACTAGATGATTTATCTCTAAAACTGTCCAACTTTCCTAAAAATGACTAATAGCAGAACAAGTATAGTTATAACTAAGTTATTAATATCTTAAGCTTTACCTTCTAATTTCAATAATAATTAAATCATTTAATCTTCAGGTAAATACTGAGTATCTCTATTTTAGAAACACTTTGAAAAAAAAGTGTACAAAGATTCATAATTACATTTGTAAAATAATCTTCAATTTATTGAGCTATGATAATAAAGTGTTTTAAATCCAAAGAACATACAAATTATATCCTAATAGCTCAGTATTTGGCCCTGATAAGTTACTAATGAAACAACTCCCCAATTCTTTACTATCCAACATATCTCATTATTTTGTTTAAAAAATCTATCTTAGTAACCAGATTTTACAGAAAAATCTACAGATCTACCACATTTAAATCTTTTAACATTATACACCTATGATAATCTCTAAAATACAACAATTAAATCTATCTTCCTTCCTGTCTATCAAATTTCAAAGGTAAGCTCATTTTCTTCTCCAAAATGAAACACAATGTGATCATAACTTAAATTTTCTAATAAAGAAGATGGAAAATCAGTTTCATTCTTATTATTAGAAAATCTGTCAAAAAAAATTAAAAAACACCAAACATATACTGACAAAGTCTCCAAAAAGACATGGAAACCAATATGCTGTTTGGTTTGCTTTGATAAGATAATGTTAAAAGTGTTAAAAGGCTGAAAACAGAACTTGTACCTTTTCAGGTGCTTTCTCAATATAAAAAATAAGCAACTAAAGGCAAAATTTTATTAAAATGTGTTCTCTAGTAAAAATTCAGTATTTATTTACAAGTGACCTTAAAAACAACTGAAAATTTTAATACCTTTGTCCTGGTATCAGCCATATTAATAAAAGGCCAAAATGATACGGCTGACTGGAATCTACACATTAAAAATAGTACATTTTTAACATTAAACTCAACTTTCTCATCTAAGAAATACTTATCAAGACTAGAAGAAAAAAGCAAAAATGAAGTGAAGAGTTTCACTTGTCTCTCTTATCACTCCACACCCTCTGGTGGAGGTGCCCAAACACAGTGAAACTGTCAAAAGGCAAAGGGCAAGTAAGAGAGAGGGGGACGGGACAAATCGACACGGGGAAATCACACAGAAAGCATTTCTTGAATAAACAGGAGATAGTTTTATTTTTCTCTTTGTATCATCTCTGCATTTTTTGCATATAAAACTAATTATTATGATTTCTAAATTTCACAGAAGAGCATTTGAAAAAAATTTGTCTACAACTGAATGAAATAAAAATATAAACTCTGGGGAAAAAAAGAAATGCAATCTCTAACAATGCCCAATCACAGAAACTTAAGTCTGAGCAGTGTTAATTTTATTGCATCTTATATAATAAGCGTAACTTTAAACCAAAATATTTAGGGAAAAAAAATGTCACCATCACGAAGTTCTTATTGCTTCTAGAGCTAACTTTTATTAAGTAATTTGAAGTGACAATTATCCAAAGAAAAGCAAAAAAAGCTCTGAAGATACTTTTGTCATTTAAATTTTAAAATACCACATTCTGAATGACATCCAAAGCCATTTTTAATTGGCTGGGTAATAGATATTGTGCTTAAGTTAGCCTAATTAGCATGAGAGAGGGAAAAGTTTTATATTGATGCAAAATCCAAAAATGATGGAAGGTGCACAAAACAAGACTACAATTGTATGTAGTTGTTATGGAAACTATTTCACTGGTGTGGAAATATATGTGTTAAAAACATAAGATCTACCAAGCAAATAAAAGGGGATTTCTAAAACAGTAAGATTTATTTAGTAACTGTGAGGTTTATTTCTCTGCTAATAAATGTATCTTCAACTTTGCATATATAAATATCTATCCTAGAATAGCTGTTGCTATAGTAACAAGATATATTTACTCATATTCACATTTTAGAATTTACTTTTCAAAATTCCTTAAAATCTGTCATTTAAAAATTTTGTTCATAACAGAAATTCCGCTTGTGTCTTATTTCAAAGTATTAGTAAGAAAACACAGGCTATAGTGATGGTCATTCTTCTTACTTAAAATTATGTATTTCTCGATTTTTAGTGATCTCAAAATGTGTTAGAGTCAACAGTAGTAGTGACATTATAATTCTTTGAGAATAAACTGGAAGAAATGTTTTTGGAATCACCACCTCTTTAAAGAAACAAAAATCATGAGAGAATCAATTATTGTACTTAATATTACCTTGTATATTCTGAGACTTTGCATGGTTTCTTTCCCAAAGAAAAAGAGCGGACCTCAGAACCATGGTCTAATTTTCTTTTCATCTATAAGGTAAAGCAAATGAGATAGATTTAAGAAAAAAAATCACCTGTCCCAACTATCAAATCTTAACATTAGCACTGGCAATAGTGAAAAAAATTCTTAAATTTTCACATGCCTAAATTTTCATTATTTAGGCATAGTTAATGTATGTAGAAAATAAATGCTTCATGGTTTCTTCTACTAGTTCTACTTTGTTTTACTCTTTAAAGATTAGGAAGGTGAATTTCCCCCTCTCCAATATTATATCCAGAAGAATAGCATATGCTGATCTAAAAATTGATATTCATCATACATAGTCCTTGAGAGTGATATGCCTTTCACATTTTCCAGTTTAAGAAACAACATGGGGGAAAATGTCATGTTAATACACATATTACAGAACCATATTTACCATGTCTCTCTTAGTGATCATCATTTTCCTTTAAAAACATATTTTCAAGATAAAGGGGACAACAAAATTCAAAATTTCAAAACCTGAATGGAAGTAACAGTAATTGAATTTAAAACACACAGGTTATTACAAAAGTGTAAAGACAACGATGTAAATAAAATGATCTTGAAAAGTAATTATATAAGGCAAAAGCAATGAATATGGGTAATGAGGGGAGTAAAAAAGTAAATCTATAACAGGAGAGAAGTCTGGAGTTGGTATAATAAAGGTGGAAAAAAAGCCTATAATTGATATTTACAGAGAATATAACTTCACTGACAGATGCTCACTCAGGACAAAATATTCTAACTTGAAAAGCAACAAGAAGATTTTAAAAGAATGAGTTAAATATCTTCGTAAGGTATATCCAACATATACAGTTTTTAAGTATTATGCTATGTATGTGTAATACTGTAAATATATTCAGAATTGCATTTTGTCAACATCAAAATTGAAATATTTATTTTTTATATTTCACCATCCGTTAACTGAGGTCATCTACCTATAGATCTGTTATAAAACTAGAAAATAAGATCGGTTAAGATTCAACTTTTTCTACTTCAACAGCCCCCTCAAGATTTGTGTCTTCTAATTAATTACTGTACCACTGAAAATTATGGGGAAGGGGGGGAGACCCAATGCGTGATAGACAGCTATCCTCATTTTTTAATAAGGTGAAAACCCTTGCTTTGCAGCAGACTTTTTTTCTTACCTACTGCCTCACAGGGAAACATCATAACACAGCATGCTACATTATAAATACTAAAAAGAACCAACGAGACTCAAAAAATTTTTGAACCACACTCTGGATAATAAAGACTATGTTTTTATCATCATGAAAAAGTCTTCCAAAATACAGGGACCATCTTATGATATCAGGGGCTAGAGTAAGGGTACAACAAGCTCATCCACAATTTTTACCTTAGTTCAAGAAATACCTCCTGGAAAGAAACGGAATTGGTCTTATTTCAACCCTTTGGAAGTTTCTGTACTCATTACATCGTTTTAAAGTGATTCCTCTCAAAAACCATTATTTTCTTTCTCCAAACAGTTTTAGTAAAAAAGAAAAATAAATATATAAGCTTTAATATATAGATAGCCACGTGCTTCCATGTATATAAATTATAGACACGTAGACATACACGCAAATGTATCTATCAGGAAGGTCAGTCAGTACAGATCACCTTAAAAATCTAGTTTTTTCCATAACTTCCACAGATTCTTATTTTCAAAATTAACATGAGAAACTTTGATATTCATTCTAATTAAGTTGTAATACTGGCTTTTAGAACTTCCCTGGGTATCTTGTAAATACACATTGGTGCAAATGCTATTTGCCACCAAAAGCAAACTTTATTTCCATCTTAGAAACCCTTCAATGAATAAAAATGCCCAAAAGACATATTGAGGGAACCATTTAGAAAGGATTTTTTATCTTCAGAATATTTTACTAAATAAAGCACTTTCTGTAGGACTACAGAAGTCTCTTAAATATTATATTGTTTACTGAACATCCTGACTTTAGAACCAAAAATTAATTCTGCAATTTTTTAAGGGGCATGGAAAGTAAATACGACCTTTTAAAATCTAAGTCCTAAATATTCTAGTGATTCTAGACTTTAAAAGAGTCAGTTAAAGAAAAAAGAAAAGAAATATATATGTATATAAGGTATAGAAAAATTAAAGGCAGAAGATTCACTAAAAGCCAACTAAGGGTAGAGTATTTCCAGGTCAGCATTTAACGGAGCCACATTTCCAAAGTCTAAATATATTTTTAGTGAAAAATTTCCAGATTAAAATATTCATTTTACTTTAAATTTAAAGCTGTTTACAGCTTACGTTGTCTTTGCATTATTTGCTTACATTCACGTTATAAAACAGAATACCAGCCATCCAGCCACCCACCAAAATTAGAGGATACTGCAGCCATCTCTGATGATACAGATTTTCCTTCTCAGGCAGGCACACACACACACAATCACACAACACAGAAAGAAAACAGATTACTTACTTTGTAAAAAATCATTTTTAGTGTGCCGTAGAAACCCATATTTTCTGTATTTTTCCCCTTCAGTGATTCTGTGCCCCCGTGTGTCCGGCTGCTTGGCAGTCTCTGACAATATAAACCTTTTTCAGGTAGGTATGTCACAGATTCTAATGTGGACATGCTCAGGCACGTCAGAAAGGGAAGATTAGGGAGCAGAACCGGCAACAAAACTCCACAGTAAAGGCAAATGCAGCTCAGTATCAAACAGCTTCTCGGGACACACATACATACATGCAGCTTGACTGAGAAGAACTCGAGGGAATAATGAGAGAGAACCGAGAAGATTATTGGAGGAGACTATGCCCTGTCAAAGCCTTGACTGAACAGATTCCTCCCTCAGCAGCAGAGGGATCAGATTACATCTTCCCTTGAACACAGAATGGTGCAGTCCAGGATTCAGCAATGCAGACTGCACATCAATTATATGGTGATCCGCTCCAGGGAACCCGTAAGCACACAACGCACTGAACAGAGGGAGGATGTGGGCAGCGAATGAGACCGCCCCCACACAACAACCCCCTTCCCCTTGCGAACTTTCTGGAGATTATTTTGTATTTTGGAAAACCTGCATTTCGGCAGAGTTTTAAATGGCAAGCCTCCTTTCCACAAATAAGTGCTTTCAGAAACATTCTGAAAATGGAATATATTTTCCATACAGTCTTCCCAACAGAAGCAAAGCAGGCTATTTCCACTAACTGTTATCCTATTGCAGTCCTGGCACAGACTGATCACATTTTTCAAGTAGTTTAGATGATAGAAAATGAGCAATCCCAGAGGGAGAAATTAAATAGTCTTTGGGGGGATTTACAATAAAGTAGACCAGTTTGGAGCACATAACATTTGCAGAAATTATGTAATAAGTTATATTTCAACTTGCATATTTCTTATATTAACATTTAATGAAAATATTCCCTATGTTTTTCCATTTCACTCATTTAAAAACATATCAAGAAAATTACCACACACTTCATCAATTCTTAGTAATCATGACAATTTATTTTTAAGACTATCAGGTTGGTATTAAGTGTATAAAGTTTGGCCAAAAGGTTCCATTTCTCCAAAGAAGCAAAAACTGGGCTCATTGGAGAGTTTTAACCTTATTTGTGAATTAAATCTTGAGTAAACAAGAAGCACTGGACTTCTACCTCCAAAATTATTTTGAGAGGAAGGTATATTGCTATCTTTAAAAAAGCATTTTACATAATAATAAAAAATACCAAAGTTTGCCCGAAGGCAACCTTTTTCTCAGAACAACTACTTCACAAATCTAGATATTTTATCTCGCAACTTGCTACACAACTAGCTTCAGAGGCAATTATAAGATTCCTTGGACTAGAAAGACCCATTATTAAGGGTCTAGTTAATTAACTCCTACCCTCCCCATTAACATTCTTTATTACAAGTAAACTGTGTGCCTATAGTTATTTAAGTACTTAAAAAGTTTGCTCAGAAAAAAAGAAATACTATTTGGACTTACTACATTTTACTACTCTCTGCTATGGTTAACGAATGACTTTCATTAGGTAAATGATTTTAAATGCTATATAAAGTAGTTACCGTAATTTTAAAAATAAATATGTTTACCTTTATAACTAAGACATTAAGTCAGTGTAATGTCTTTTACTTTAAAACATAAATGAAATAAGATAATCTAAAATTTTATGAAGATATATATCTTGGGTCTTCTGGAAATAACATTCTCTGTATAATCTTTTTAAAAAAATCTGACTCTTAAATTCTTACCCTCAGAAACAATTATGTACATGTACCCAACAAAAAGTTAGTTTTCTAAATAAACAATAAGCTTATTTCAAAGGAAAGTTCTTTTTAGGAAAAAAAAATCCAACTGTTAGGAATATACCCATAAACCCTTTTGTTAGAAGATTCAGAGCACTCAAATATTTAAAAAATAATAATAATGCAAAGTTTTTTAAAAAAAAGTAAAAAAAAAAAAAGTAATTTCCCATTCACCACCTGCCTCAATTCTGGGCTATATCAAGAAACTAATTATAAAATGAACACCTGAAATTTTCTCTAAAATTTTTCAGTGGTAACTAGCTTATTAGAGGACAATGTATATCTTGACTTCAATTGAAATCATGTCCTCTCTCTAAATGAAGTAACTTTTCCAAATTAAGTCCTCTCAATTGAGGACAAAGACCAACTTTAATAAACCATGGTCACTCTCAAAATCTAGGGTATTTAAAGAAGAAAATAACTTAATTTTGTATATTCAAAGGAATGTTCTTATGGTTACAAAGTTCCTTTTATGGGATGAAGTTATGGGAAAACCTGATGCTCACAAATGTGTATTTTTATGTAAGTATATATATTCATGTTTTATTTTTGAATAGGCAAAATATTTACTTGATTCAAAACTGGAAATGATAATCAAAAATTATATACTGAAAAGACTTTCTACCACCTGACATCCCCATCTTCTGTGGATCCCATTTGATAATAATCTTTATTAGTTTGTCCTTTAAGTGAGAATGTGTATGTTTATAAGTACTCATGAAGACTTT